ATAAATATATAGTGAAAATGAAAATATAAATTACAATAATATAGAATTTTAGTAAATTTTATGAATTTTTGGCAAATCTACAGGAACAGACACCTATTTATGTAAAATTTACTTTACTTTTCTTGGTAAATGAACGATTGTCATATAGCCATATTATAAAATACTTTCTATATTTTGCAAAGTAAAGCACTATGCCCCGGTTGAACAGCATTGAGACCTAGTTAGGATTTTAGAGCATAAAAAAAGGATTAAAAAGTTTAATATGCATAACTTTGTAAAATGAGTCCTTTGAGTGCTACAGCTGTTCAAAATTCGCTATTATGATTATGTATTGTGTACCATATAGGACTGGTTTTATTCGATTTCTCGAATCATCTAATATTTGGAATATGTCCAATCTTGACGAAGGCAACTAAAATCTTTTTTGGACCTCAAATGAATAGTTATAAATGATACATATTAATCGATAAAGAGGGGAGAGAGACTCAAAGTATGAAACAAAAGGTTTTAATTGCCTAATTGAAATGTGATCAATATATGAACCTTATCTCCCTCTTCAGCTTCCTCATCGGAACTCTAAAAGTAAAAAAATATCATTAATTGTTCTTGCTGGCATATGAATGTCTTCGTCAAAGTATTGGACATACTCCAGATAACTATCAACCGAATTAATAAACTATACCAAATACATTTTAGATATTACTTCATGTCTTTGGTACAATCCGTTACCGCCGTCACCGCAAGGAGGTGTCTTGGACGCAGAGAAATTAGATAAGACTAATGGTACATGGTCATAATAGCGAACTTTGAATAGTTCTAGCACTCAGCCAACTTCTCCTATAAAGTTGGGCTTATGGAATTTTTTATTCTCTTTTGATATCTTAAAATTTTAAATATGTCTCAAAGTTGTTCATCCGAGGCCCAGATTGCCCTATAAAACTGAACATAATCCTTTTGAGAGTTGTTCTTAATATTCTTAGGAATCATATATTATATAATTTACTTTACAGTAAGATAATCATTTGAATGGATTTACTATATATTATAACTGTAATTATATAACTGTACTTTTTATCTTACACCTTTGATATTTTTCAGATAAAATAAAAATTCAAGTAAAATAAAGTTGTAATAAATTCGGCAAAAATAACTAAAATAATCTCATAATAATAAAAATCACTCAACTATTTTTCATCGTAAAATCACATTACAATTTTCTTTGTTATATATGTAACGTTGACAATTTAACTGTAATTTATTTATTATATATTTATTTTATAGCAGAGAGAGAGAGAGCTGGAAACTTTGCAGGTAGTCTAAAATAAATATTACATATAATATTTACAAAATTGTTATTTTAAATTGTTATTTCGAATAGTGTATACGCATAAATTACTATTAATATAGATTATCTTCGAGAATGATTACAAAAATGCACTATTCAGTAATTATTGGACAAGCTTGTTATCTTTTCCGTATAGCTACAATACCCAAGTTTATGCTATACTTTTTGATAAAGAAAAAAATTACATATGTCTAAAATCTACTAGAATCGTTTTTTCAATAAATAATAAAGATACGGCTTCGATCTAGTCCTTCTCGTAGAACTTTGCCAAGTAGAAATAATGAAAACTTGAATCTACGATTGTTTATTCCTGAGTTACTTGCGGATTAAGTAAAAAGGAACACTCTGACTTTATTGCTCGTAACTCCGTCAAAAATCATCGTATAGCAACTAAAGATACAGATTCTTAAAGTTGAAACGTTGCTCTATCAAGTGATATTAATTGCCAATTTTTAGAAAATAAAATATATGAGTTGCAAAAAAAGTTTTTTTATTAACTGGTAAAGGGACTTTTTTCCTAGCCCAATATATGTATATGTATACATATACAGCTTCCCTGTATATTACATACTATCTCATTTTAATTTATACTACTGTCTAATTCTATAATTTGATTACAGAGTGAAACAATATATGCAGGTCTATAATTTGGATCTGTGCGTGTTTTTTTGTGAGAATACGTGGAAGGAAATTTTGCCGAGATATGTAAATATTTAGCTAGATATATACACAGATACAGATCTGAAAATAATTTTATAGAACTATCAAAATAATTATGTAGAACGCTCAAGTTGGTTGTTAGACTATCAACATTTTTTACCACATTGCTCATTAATGCTTCGTACATTACATAATTATCTTGATAATTATCTTCCTCCATAATTATCCTGAACAAAATTAATTTCAAATCTGTATCTATAACTAAATTTTTTAACATTTCAGCAAATTATTTCCATGTTTTTACTAATTATTGACTCATAGTATTAACAAGAAATAAATTTGCATCCCTTTCCAAGGGACAAAATGTCGGAACACAACTGTCAAGCGATCTCAGCAATTTCTAAATAAATCAATACTTTGTGGCGTGCCGATACGTAATGCGCGCGATCACTTCCTTGATCATATGCGATTACCGGCTGACACGAGTTCATTTTTACAAGCGAGCCTCGTCGCGGCCGTTTGCTTTTCACTCAACCATATAGTAAAATCTCTTAAGTAACGCATGGTCCCCGACTGTTCAATCGTCCCTGTTCGTCGTCTATACCTCTAAATCGCTGTGGTCGGTCTCCTTTTGCTATTTCAAGCGCGCAACGCGTGATGCGTGTACCACGCACGCGAGCGGCGCGTCTTACGTGGGCGAAGCATTTAACTGTCGCTTTTAACTGTCACGGCCGCTCGCAACTTAAACTTTTATCCGAGGATACGAATCCGGAGGGCTGCTAGCTGGCAGCTACGATCCTTTCACGAAGCATTCGAAAAGCACATCGATTCTTTAGCGTTTAATTGTGATTTGTGTATAAAACTATTATAACGAATTATATTTATGTTTTATGACGATAATAAATGGCCTTATATATTTTATGTTAAATATAAGATAAGCATTGTGTTTTTTAAATATCTGCATTATGGATCCTTAAAACACAGATATACGGAATGTCCGATAATAAGTTTATTCGATCGTATAACCCTCTCAAGATCAAGTAGAGCGGACTAAACTGAGTCGAAAAGTCTTGTACCATTTTGCAATTTTTGCAATAATTAATGAGATAACGTGATAATAATTTCCAAAGATCGAATACGCGGATAAAATCGATGCAAATGGCAACTTTAAAGTATTTTTTCAGAATACTTTATGAATTATTTTCTTAAAGATATTTCTTAAAGAACTCTCAAAGATATCTTATGTTGTTTTATGCGTCGATTTTAAACATTCTCCTGATTGGATAACTAAAACAAAAATTTGCGAAAACTATAAAATGATAGAGGACTTTCGACTCAGTTTGGTCCGCTCTACTTGTCAACGAGAAATTATGTGGTCATTGTACTGAACATCTTGTATACAGGATATATAATAGCACAGTATTAATTGTATTATTATAGAGACTTTATATATACATATATATATATTCTTGTCTATTTGTTTTATCGCGATCCGCATATGCGTCCGAAAAGAACGATTTTGTTGAAATATTTAAAAATTCTTTTATATCATCAAAATAATCATTATTCATCAAGCATGATAAGGAATGCTGCAAGAAGATTTGACAATCTAACAACTTGTGTGTGTGTGTGTATGTGTGTGTGTGTTTGAGCATTCTAAATAATATTATTTTGATAGTCCAACAAAATTTTCAGTTCTGTATTTAGATAAATTTTTAGATACTTCAGCAAAACCGTTTTATCCAGAACGTAGACATTCCATGCATGCCCATCGCAATAAAATAAACAGCAAGGATAAATGTGTGTGTGTGTGTGTGTGTGTGTGTGTGTGTGTTGTGTGTATATATATATATATATATATATATATATATATACACACACACACACACAAATAGTGTGGGGCGCGCGCGCGCGTGTGTATGTGTATGTGTGTGTGTGTCTTTTAGTATATTGAATGATATAGATCGAGGCACCTTATTAGCATTTTATTCCATCATATTGCATATTTTTTTTAGACCGAATAAAAAATTGTATAAAATTGTTCAAACTCTTATTTTTTAGAAATTTTAGATACATTAGAGACAATGCTGCTTCCAATATGTATGTTCTAAGGAATCTAAGATTAGATCGCAACTTGAAATTCAAAAACTTTATATATTTTCATTATATGTATAAGAATAAGATTTTTGGATTTCAAGTTAAAATTAAGAAATTAAATTAAATTATCAAAAAAAAGAAAAGAAAAATTAATCTCATGTAAATTCGACTTGTTAAATTTCGCTTTGAGACTGGATAATCAATATGCTAGGTATTATATCCGATTGTTAATTTTAATGAGACAAGTTAATTTCGTATATTAAAATAAATTTTTTTCTTCAAAAAATACACGTTCCAAAATATCAAATTTCCAAAGTACAGTCGAACCTCTATAAAAGTAACTTGTCAAAAGTTCCGTAAAAGTAAACAAATGCGCATGCGCATTTACTACTCGATTACTATATGGGAGGTTAAAACAAAAACGGAGGTTAACTTTACGAATTTCGACTGTATACCTAATAATATATGAAGTGCAGTAAATATAAAGCATAAATGACAAGTATCATATTTTTGCCAAGAATAAAAGCTAAAATTTAAAGTTACTACATTTCTTAATTGCTATAATTATCGATATATAACACAGATATAATTTTTACAAAATATCACTTATCTCGCTTTTTGTTTTTCGTCTTTCTTAAACATTACAATCCAGCTCCAAATTAGAATCCTATTACGGCAAAGTTCATCTAAAATTAGATTCCATAATTTATCTTTTCAAAGCTTACGAAAAAAAAAAAATCTCTTTTAATCGCACGTAACTCGACAATTATTGATATCTATACTATTTTTCTTAATCGACAGACACTCGCCGGAGAATATATTATCGAAATTACAGTTACGACATCGGCTTTGTTTAAAGTTACTTTGGATAAAATCGTTAAAAAAAGAAGCCTCTTACCTGTCGTTCCGTCTTGCGACGCGCGGAACTCAGGAAGAAGGAAGTGAAGCACTAACGTCTCCGGGGCTTGTTTCCCGGCACCTGACTCCTTCCGCTCTCACTGTACCCACTGCGGCAACGTTCCCTTCCTCGCACCGCGAGTCTTCCCACCCTCGCGACGATTTTTTTCTTCCGATGCGCGAGTCGACGTCGATCCACCGCGATTATTTATCCGGCGCGAGTTGCGACAGTCTGCGCGACTTGCATCACGCGCGTGCACGATGCACGCACGCACGCACGCACGCACGCGTTCTATCTCTCTTTTAAATTTTATTTTTATCTTTCTTATTATTTTTTATTTTATATTATTTTTTTCTTTCTTGTATATATTCTATGTATATCTTTTGTGCGCTTTCTGTCTATTGTTATCTGCTTGTTCATAGAAGGCCTGTCCCAGAATTATATAGGATTACACACCTTATCTATCTATTTAATTTATCTGTTTCTTTCTCATCCTCCCTCTCTCTCTCCCTCTCTCTCTCTCTTTTGAGAGAGAGAGAGAGATTTTTTCCGGAAGAAAGTACACTGACACTAACTATTGTCTGTGGCGGTTCTCGAAAAAATCATAAATCGGTAAAATTCCGTATCTTTTAAATCACTCCGACGAATAGTATCACGTGCTTATGGAGCACATGGAGCACGTCAATGTCCAATGCAACGACGTAAACAATCTGTCGACAATAAACTAACTACAATTCACTTCGATCGACTGGTAGCGATCTAATTTAAACACCGATATGCGTCCCTTCCAAAATGTACGGTAAATCCAAAGAATCTTATTACTCTCTTTCATCAACTTTCTTCGTTTCGATGTGTCGGTCTAATCCTATACGAATTTCATGTATATCTCTGGAACTTGATTGCCAAAGCTATACTTTTATCCCTTACCATTTTACCCGCCACGGAAAATGCTATTTGATCTTACACGTGTCCCCGGTCAAAGTTGGAGATAATACATTCGCCGACAGAGTTCCTCTTTCTCTTCTTCCTTCGTTTACTCCTACACCACTCTCGCGGAGCGCATAAATAAAGCGAGACCACTCCTCTTACTCTCTTATCTCTTTTCGCACTTCTTTCTTCCGATTTTTCTCGACGATGCAAAAGAACACGCACGATTCTAGCACCGCGTGTCACGAGGCGCGCACCACAGCGAGAGAGAGAGAGAGAGAGAGAGAGAGAGAGAGAGAGAGAGAGAGAAAGAGGTAGAGACCTCGCTCGGTCCAGGGAGCGCGCGCGCAGAACACTAAACGCGCCGCGCGAACGGCGAGTCTCAGTTTGCCTTGCCTAGCCTTGCTTAGCCTAGCCTAGCCTAGCCTTGCCTAGCCTAGCCTAGCCTAGCGTAGCCTAGCCTAGCTGCCACTAAACTCCGCTATCCTAGGTTAGACATACTCGCGACACTCTCCCTCTCTCTTTCGCTCACACGCTCCCCCCGCAGCAGCATCGCGTTCTCTCTCGCTTGCGCCTCGCCGTCTCCGTCGTCACCGCCGCGAATCCGTTCAGGTCCTCTCGCTCCTACCACGTCTCGCGTGATGAATACACTGCGTTGCGCGCGCGCGCGCGATTCTGATACGACAGAGAGGCGGGAGAGAATGGAGAGGTGAGGAGGAAGGAGAGAATCGTAAGGCCATAGCCACGGCCATCGAGTCGCATATACTATATACATACGCACGCACGCACGCACGCACGCACGCACGCACGCGACAGCAGAACCTGTGTGGGTGTGTGGCCGTTCGATTCCGCGCATCGAAAATCACATATATCGATCTTGCGTTTCTCTTGCCATCTAATTACCTACTTAACGCCTTCATTATTCCAATGAAGTGCGTATTCACTCACGACTACCTCGCAATCAAGGTTGCGGCCAAATCTTTGATGTTCTTAGCTATTGCTCCAATGTTATTATAATAGTATAACACATAATTACACTCATAATTCTACATACCGGAAAGTATATCAAAGTATAAATAAAGCTCCGAAAATGACTAATAATTAATGCTAAATATATTTTTTTAATGTATAAAATTATGAATATAATTAAATTATTACTAACATTATAACATATATGTATACACAAAAAGATATCATTTTACTGTTAAGAAAAATGATTGCTCACTTGTCAGTTTATTTTTTTTTCTTTAAAGTAACAGTTATCTTTAAGAATATTCTTTTCAATTTTAAAAAAATATATATTCTTTTCAACCTTAAAAAAATATACTTACAATTAGTATAAAATTAAATTATGAAAAATTTATTAACATATACCTACTTAAAATAAGAATTTATTTTCTTTTGAAATATACTAGTATTATTCAAGTATTATTGAAGAAGTAACTGTATAGGTACGTAGCAATAGATAATAAGCAATAGATAATAAACAATCGAATGTTTTAATTTAATAACCTCGATTGAATTAGTATTAAACTTGATACTTGTGATATGTGAACTTGTGATAGATTTGAATTAAAATATATGAACTTTGAAATACCTTTTGAAAACAAAAATAATATATTTGAATACAGTATATATTTTTCTTGTAAGCAATAATAACTACAATATAAAAATAGAATTCCCAACTATAATTATTTTATCATGCAAGTCATAAAAAACAACTAATTAACTAACTTCCATACTGATACGTTTGCGTATGTTTCGAATACTGAAAATCATAAATATGTAAGGAACAACGATCGGCCGTCAAAGAAAAAAATTGTCGCAAAAATCGAATTGATAGAACAAATTACGATTATTTTATAGTATGCGAAAGTTCCGGAATACAAAGTGTAATCATTCAGCCTTATTGCAATAATTTCATAATTAAATTACAATAATCTTGCAATTAGTCACGTTTTTAGGTGACACTGGTATTATTTTGGTCGGAGCTGACAGGGGCAACTTCTAATGACGCGTTCCAATGTTCCAATCCGAAAAACGTGCCAGAAACAAAGCACGTGTGTGTGCCGCGTGCCGCGTGTATTCAAACCAAACGCGGGAGATGCTTCGCGCGATTTTATGTATATACAATATAAAATACGTTCTATATTCCGACGCAGCTAGATAACGTGCGTATGTAATAACACACGTATACATCTAACGCACGCACGCGCGCGCTTGCATGATGTAGCGCAGTATATGTATATGTATATATATATATAAATATAATGTAGGTATGTATAATACTTCGTGCGCCCGTATACGAGAATTCACCCGGCGACAAGCGTAACACAAGAGGACGTGCCTGGCATATGTTTTCGCCATCTAAATCGTCTTTTCTTTATGACGACAACTTTCGATTCGATCACGATTCACGTTTGTGCACGGACTATTCGTTTCGATTCGAAAGTACCGTAAATCAGATTCTGAGACACGAGCCGTTCTCAGAATCAAGAAAAATATCGATATACGAGAAGTATCTTATAGTTAGATATATCAAAGAAGTAATCTTAAAATCAAATCTTGAGTTAAATAATTTTGTTATTTTCAATTTCTATATGTATATTAAAATTCAAGTGAATCCATTTCTATGATTGAATTGCTCAGTTTCAAAGTAAATAACGTCTACGTTAATGTATGCATTTAGTTAGTAAATAATAAACTAAATTTGAATAAAATTTAATACATTCCTTGAGTTAAATTAAAGTTTAAGTTAAATCAACGATATATATTGTGTAAAAACTGTACGAGTGACGATCTAGAAATGACTAAAAATAATCAACTCAAGTTGTATATAATTTAATACTAATTTAATATTAATTTAATAATTTATCTTGAAAAGATAAGAAAAGAGACTCTGGCAAATATAAAGTATATTTATTTGACGATAATAAGTTAATTTTTTTGTTTTATTTTTGCATTTATTTTGTTCATTACCATAATATGATAGAATTTACTGTAGTAGCGAAAGGCATTCAAAAAAAGTCTCGCACACTCTACACTTGCAGTCTTTGTGATGAATTAAATAACAAACGAATTAAATAACATGATATGTTCACCTTTCAAAGAAAAAGAAAAAAGTGTATTTGGATTTCGTCGACAAATTTTCGTACTTTACGTTAAATTCAATTCAACGTCAAAATATTTAATTTCCTGTACGTTATTTTCAAGTTGTATTTCCAATTTTCTTACGAAAAACGCAGCAGTAAGAAACTCAATGCGATTGTTTCATAATTGGGAAATTCTCGTGGCTACGCAGCGCAACGCTATCAACTCGTTATCACGTATCGCTAATAATACGATGCGTCTGTGAACGTTAGATTAAAGAGTAATTAATGATCGTTTGTAGTCACGCCGACGTGCATGACGTTATGACGCGATTCGCTAGTTTTTACTAAACTCGATGTCTAATGCGCATTACCGTTCAAAAAAGAACAGCTTTTGTTTAAAAGAGATGTTTGAAAGGGAAGAGTATAAATTTGAATTCTTTCGAAATGAAAAAATAATTATAATTTGATGTTTGTGTAAAAAGAACAATGTTATTCATTTTTTCAAATAATAGAAAATTAAAAGCAAAATTAAATAGTCTATGTTTATCATTTGTCTATTTGTGTGTGTGTGTGTGTGTGTGTGTGTGTGTGTACACAAATATATTTAGAGATTCCAAGATTCATATTATTAACCTATTAATAATAAAACTAAATGGCTCGCTGCTTCAATTAAGTGATTGAATTAAAGTGTATGTATTACTTATACACATTACTTTCGTAACGTAGGTTACAACAATTTTTACAGAGAAAAAAGTTGTATATGTACTCTAAGAGTCTCAATCTCAACACCTGGACTCGCTTGATAATTTTTACGTAACAAATACAATTTAGAAAATTATTTCCGCTTTATCCTACGAATTGTCACTCATCGTCGTTTATATGCTTGATCCGGCCGCAAACGGAACTCTTATCTATATATTGCCACATCATCACCAAGACGAAATATATCTTTGTTGTAAGAAGTCAAATAAACCAATGCCGATCTGCTGAACGTTTATTTCCTATATCATCATCCACTCACGAATATCCGCAAAATCATTTTCAACGCTCGTATTAAATAATATATTTTAATGAAAATCACTATTTATTCATACTATCATACTATCTTTTAAATCGTAATTTATATTATAATACTGTCTACAAAGGTTTATCGCGTATATTCTCGCGCGCAGAGCTGAATTGGTTCACAATGCAAGATGAAGGGCTAAGGGTAAAGTGATGAAGCTCAGTATTTGGTCGGACAAGCTTCGACGCTATAATTTAACGCAACGTTCACTGCGCAGGTGGCCGACGTGATTGCCACGGATGGCGGAGCGGATTCGTGAGACTTTCTAACGAAAGTGCAAGTGTTTTCTTTCTTTCTCAACCGGCTACCGCAATTGCTGCGTAACTATTCTCGTCTCGCGACTTTCGCGCGTTTTCCGCGGTTTCCCACCGAGGTCATCGAACGCTTCCGGCTTGTTTATCGTCGACTGTGCTTCGATTTTCACGATTGCGCGCGTTTTTACGTATTGTTAATTATTATAAGTTCCTCGTGTCTCAATATCGCAAAGCTAAAAAGGAACAGAATTAAAATGCTTTAGAAATTTACAAAGCTTCAAACATTAAAATAAAACCCATTTTAAAGTAATTACAAAATAAATATGAAATAATATGAAATAATAGGATTATTGACAGAGTCAGCGTAATACTTATAACGGGTGATAATTAATAATGTTTATTTTAAGAAACTTTGAACCATTTTTGACATAAAATTAAACCATATAAAAATGTTGTATAGTTTTAAAAATAAGGATTGATCGCAAATCAATGCAGTGGAGAAATCGTCAATAAAACATCATACGGTTTATTTTTGTGTTGATGATTGTTTAAAATCGAGCCGAAATGATTACATTTATTGTATTTTTTTCAGTAGCCTTATTTATTCCCTTTTTAAATTTAAGAGTTCTTAATTTTTATTTTAATGAATAAGGGTTGTTCCACCTTTCGATAAACTTCAGCTCACTATTTTACTCTCTTACTTTCTTTGCTCTAATTCTTTTACTCTTTTGTTTATCTATATTAGATAAATTATCACGTAGTTTATCTGAAGATGAAACAACTGGTTTCCTAAGATGTTTGAATGATAAAATAAAATAACTATAGAACTGTCAACATAGTATAATATAATAATTGTGAATTATATTCCTTTTTGAGTTTTTACACTCGTGGCAGTTGAGTTATGGATTACTCATAGTTATGATAAATTGAGTGGCATGTGGCACGGCGTTGAGATTCCGTAGTAAAAACAGGAATATATATATATGTATATATACACTGACATACATGATCATTATGTAATTATTCCAAT